ACTCATACTTTTAACATGGACACATAGTGACCATATTTCCAGCATATGCGGTAAATATGGTCATTACCTGTCTTTTTATAAAGTTTATTTTTCGAAGTGTTCCTAATTCTCGCCAAAGTTTGTTTTTTATTTTGTTCTTAATATATTAGTTATAGTTTAAGATTTTGGGTTTTTGTCTCTGTCCACCTCCTAGTTTTAGTTTTATAGGGCGGCAAAGTTTAAGGTGACCAAATTACCCTCACGAACCTTATATATGTTATTTATTTATTTATCAACAAGTAACAAATAACATCTATACAAATAAATAAAATTGAAGTGTCTGTTTGTAATGTCAAAATTACAGTTTTTCTGTCTATCTGTCTGTCTGTTTGTTCCGGGTAATCTCCGAAACGGCTGGACCGATTTTAACGGGACTTTCACTGGCAGATAGCTGATTTCACAAGGAGTAACTTAGGCTACTTTCATTTTCGAAAAAGAATTAGAGTTCCGCGCAAAAACATAAAAACCCTTACACGCGAGCGAAGTCGCGGGGAACAGCTAGTCTTATAATAAAGCAAAAACATTGAGCTTAAGATTGGTTTGTAGTTTCTGATATTAGCACCGTTAGCCTTTTGGCTTTTACAGCTTTATCGGACTCAGGACACCTTTTTACAGCTCGAAAAAATAACTGTAGCTACGAGCTGTAAAAAGGGGCGACGAAGGTGAACGCCGTTACGAAAGTACCTAATTGTAAATTTAAAACTTAACTATGTAAATTTTTGAACGTCACAGATGAGTTACCTAATACCGTCAGAACAAGTGTGGCTAACTCATATAATTCGATGTTCTGGGCGGTGAGAGCCGCCCAGGGATGCGCGTGTACGGTGTATACGTGGTGTGGAGGAGTGTGCAGCGCGGACTAGGCGCGTCCCTTTCTTTTTCCAAACTCTGTTTGTGATACTAGGTGAGTGTGTAGTAGTGTTGGTGTGTGACGGCCCGTCGACATTTGGGTCTAGTCTAGGTTGAGTCTAGCGGAACCGCGGGTTCAATTAAAACGTTACGAGGTCTCCGAATAGTGGCCGTGACGTTTGAAGTCGGAGCGAGGCCCCCTCAAAGTAGCGCGGACACATTTCCTCGAAATATTCAGAGATCGTCAGTTGTCAAGTTGACATGACCTTACCACCTCACTATAACGTTACATATTTAAGTAAAGAACTAATACAAATCCAAATTTAAATGAGGTAAACAATGTACATTTCGAGTTATGATAATAGTGCTACAGAATACTCAATGTTCTACCCTCCGTAGTTTGCACTGTATTACGGCAGACGTAGTCATCTTCCTCAAGGGCAATAACAATTATCACTTCACTCATTGTATAGTGTAAGCTAAACTATACAAAGTTTCATTTTATACTAATTCCCATATTTTTTATGCCACTAATAATAAAATGAATAAAGAATATAGCCAAACAAGTTTGTTTGAGTTTACTATATTGCATATGACACACAATATTGCATAAACATGCTATAACTAGCTGTTTCCCGTGACTTCGCCCGCGTGTGATTTAGGTTTTTTAATTTTTTTGCGCGGTACCCTTATTCTTTTTATAAAACAAAAGTAGACAAATTTACTCCTTATAACATCAGCTGTCTGTCAGTGAAAACTCCATCAAAATCGGTCCAGCCATTTCAGATAAACATTGACAGACAGACAAACATTTTAAAAATTGTGTTTTTGTTATAAGTACCTTATGTACTGTCATATGCATTTAGTGAAAAGCTGTTTTTTATATAACAAGGGTGACAAACGAGCACACAGTCCACCTTATTACACCTTATATCCACGTCCTCGATTAAGAATCAAAAATTGTCACCACTGAAGACTAAAATGGAATGCCTCGTTGCCAGTGAAAAGGTTCCTTGTTTCTCTACATTAACCAAACAAAACACAGAAGCATTAAACTGCTATTTCACTGCTACGGTATTCTGTGTCGGTGAAGTACTTTTTTAGTTAAGCCGACCCATTCGTGCTAATCCAAAATACAGCTGCAACTTGACTCTACAAGTAATTATATAAGAATATACTGCTATTTGGTGTCGTCGTCAAAGTCACGTTAGCTTGTATGTCTTTCTTAGTACATTCTTCTTATGTCATCTAGACAATGAATGACAAACAAACATAAGAGGTGAACTACCTCATAGGGATGACCTTAATGTCATAATAACATAAGGTTTGTAACACTACAGACACCTAGTGTTACCAACACTGATGACTGCAGATGGGACACCCCGCGCCGAACACGTCTCCAAATACCCAATATCTCGCAAGTCGCAGGCTTGTCACATCGACACTAAACTTACACCTAATATTACAAACACAGATATAACTTCAAATAGAACACGCCACGTCCCCCAGTGTCCATATGGACTCCTCAATTTACTTATCGAACTCACAGTTCCACTCGTTAGCAACATCCCAAAAGTCGCGAGACTGTCACACATTGACACTAAACATACACTTAATGTTACAATCATAGACACGTCCTACAGGTAGGACGCGTAACCCTCCAGTGATTTTCATCGCCCGGATTATACACCGATACAAGTCAGACTGTTAGAGCCCAGTTCCGTTCACACCTGTTCGGAAGGTGATTAGATGACTCAGCGGTACACTAATTCCCCAGGAACACTTTACTGGAGATTTAATTTTTAATCACAAACTGGTTCATCATCTTCATTACCATTATCAGTCTTTTTTACATATCTTTTCCTAGAACTGAAGGCAATACTTCAGTATTCCCAATCAGGCTATAATCTGACGGCTCCATGTAGCAGTGGCTTAGCAATGAGTTGCTGCTCTGGGGGCCGCGGGTTCGAATCGCGCACGGAACAAGTATTTGTATGGCCTACAAATAATTGTTACGGGTCTGGATGTTTGTCCTTGTGCAATTTGTGTTTGTAAACTGCCTCCACGGCACAGGAGAAAATCCTAGTGTGGGGGTAACGTTTTAAAAAAATCAGGCTATAATATCCAACTTGATAACAGCACAAGATTACAAAAAATAGAAGCATTTTTTTTAGCTATTCTCGGTCCACGCTCGCACACAGATCGTTCACAGAATCTCGCTCGCACAAAAAGCCGGCTAAGTAGGAGGTAAGCTAAGTAAACACAAAAAAAAGACTTACCTACATTGTAAACATCGTAGGATGTTTATTTTCTTCTTTTACGAACATTTGTTTTAAGATAATAAATGAACTCCGTCTTACTTAAGAGCAATCGAGTACCGCGAGTGGGCGATACACCTAATTTAGGGGTATTACGTTAAACGGGAACAAGAATTTATTACAGTCTTTGCTACAGATACGTAGATGGAAAAATATCCTATAGAAATGAAAATGACGTCATTTTCCACACAATTTTAAGTCCTATTTGTTTAGACTTTAAATTTAAGCGTGTTTTATACAAGGACGATCTTCTACGTAGTAAGATTTTAAATGGAATTTAAAACAAAATCTTTTAGCTTTTAGCTTAATAGCTTTTTGTCCTTCCTGAAGTTTCATGCTTTGCATAGCATATGCGAAAAATATGTACCTAATTTAACTTAAAAAAATCGAAAATAAATACTATTTATTAATAAAATAAAAGAAAGGGAAAAATCTTAGGGTGGAGGTAACGTTATAAATAATAGAAAAAAAACATAGTGTTTTGTGAGTTCAAAAGGTACGCCCATCACACAAGCTTGATATAATATATACAAGGTTTGATATATCGTGATATGTACAATACAAAAATATTCCACTATCCTAATCATAATTTTTTCTTATATTTTTGTGAGCTGATAATTATGCCTAGGTTTATTATATCGTTATATTTATTTACAATACAAAAAATATTCACTAATCTAATTATAATTTTTTCTCATGTTTTTTGCGAGTTGAAAATGTATTCCAATCACTCAAATAGAAGGTCGCAATAACTCTGCAAAAACCGTAATCAAAACAAGTTTATTAATGGCTATGATGCCTGAATGACCTTGACGATACGGTGACTACCGAGTCACAGCCTAAGATGACTGAGTCATAAAGATTACAGGGCGACGGAGTACACACGTCGCGCAGAGATATTCAATTTCGGGGAAAACAGCATTTTCACGAATGAAATACGGAATAAAAATGAAACAATTAAGAAATTACTATTTTAGGACATTTTTTTAGTGTAAAAACTATGAATAACTAAAGAAGCTTGTGTTGTTTTTGGAGAAATTTTGCAATTTTACAAAAACAGGAACTGTAATATTTTTTATAAAAAAGGGTTACCAAAAACTATTTTATTCAGTTGGAAACAGGTTCAGGTTTGGTTTCTTTAGATAAATTTAAAAAGGTTTCTGCGGGGAAAGTCAAATCTCTCATCTGATGAGAAGATTTTCCCTGATTCTACTCGGTAGTCGTCGACAAGCATTAGATGAACTGAGTTTCTCTTGGACCAGCATTAGTATTAGATATTGTAAAATGCAGTGTCAATTTTTTTTGATTAAGTGAATTACATAAAAAGTAAGGTTAATAGAATTGCAGCCTTTTTGGGGTTCCGTACCCGAAGGGTAACCAACGGGATCCTATTACTAAGCCTCCACTGTCCGTCCGTCTGTCTGTCGGCAGGCTGTAGCTCATGATCCGTAATAGGTAGACAGTTGAAATTTTCACAGAATGTGTTTATTTCGTAAGTTAGTAACGAGCACACATCGTTTGTCACTCTATCCTATAAAAAAAAACCTCTTACGACACCACGGAAACAGATGGGTTTTTGTGCATCTGCTATAAATACGAGATATTGGCGGTGTAAGCACATTGACGACCCCATATCGTGCCGTGGTGTCGTTAGAAACGACCGAGGGAAACAAACCAGATCGGCACAAACGTATTTCTAATAACAACTAGGAGCAAAGAAACAATGTTCGACAGTATAAAGTTTTATTTAGTTTAACTTTATAATATATATTTAATAAATATTACAATAACTTCTTAGTTTGCCGAATGCGATGGATTGTAGAGTTCGCCTCGAATACTGGTCTTCATTAACTGAAAGGTTAAATAAAAACAAACATGTGTCACAAAATCATACCTAATTAACTGCTTAGAATTGCACTTAAAATAATTGGTAGACATTGAATTACAACCAAGGCCGGATCTATATACGGGCTTTATACTTTTTGGGCTGCAGCCCAGGGCCCTGTGGATACAAAGGGCCTCCAGCCCCCATTGAAGAAGCCCCAGCTGCTAAAGCTTCAAAAATGTTTATGATGTATAAAATTCATAAGAAAAATTCTCAATACTTCGATTAACTCCGTGAGGTTTGTTATTTTTGCAGCTAATATAAAAAGAAATTCACTTGAATAGTTAATAGGAGTTAGGTACATACTAAAAGTTTTCTTTTGTTTACAGTGAGATAATTATTACTCGTACATACGTTAAGTAAGGGATAACCAACGATTTTATGTTAAGGCTAAATAAAATTTATTATCTACAAACGCATAGCTTATACATATAGTATGTTATAATTACGGATTGAAACGAAAGCTGCTGTCATATTTTGTTGAAAATGAAATATTAAACCGACAGAGGGAAGCTGAAATATGAGATGGGCAGCGGCACCCGCCGGCCAAGATTTTTTTTTATAGGATAGGGTGACAAACGAGCACACAGTCCACCTCATGGTAAGTGGTTGCTGTGACCCATAGACATCCACATCTATCCTCAATAAAGAATCAAAATGCAGATGCGTTGTCACCCGTGAGGACTAAGATGGAATGCCTCTTTTCCAGTAAAAAGGGGCGCCGGTTCTCTACACTCACCATACGAAACACAGCAGTGTTAAGTTGCTATTTTACGCTGGTATTCTGTGAGAGCGTGTTCCTTCCCTGGTTGAGCCATTAAATGGAAAAAAAAGGATTTTGCCATAGTTGTTAATCTTGTTGCTGTTAATGTATGTGGTAGAGCCATGCTGCAGTTATATTAATAGTATAGTTGTAGCCCGAATGGGCCGGCTCGACCGGGGAAGGACTACGCTCTCACAGAATATCAGCGTAAAATAGCAGCTTAACGCTGCTGTGTTTCGTATGGTGAGTGTAGAGAACCGGAGACCCTTTTTACTGGAAACGAGGCATTCCATTTTAGTCCTCACGGGTGACAACGCATCTGCATTTTGATTCGTAATCGTAAATATATGTAGATGATTATGGGCCACAGCAACCACTTAACATCTGGTGGACTGTGTGCTCGTTTGTAACCCTTATCCTATAAAAAAACGTACTATATTTTAGATCTTCCAAGTTCTTTAAATAGCGAATTAGTTAACTGTCCATCGATTGCTATAAGATCTTTCCTCTTATTAGATTTTACAGCAACTGTTAACGAAATGCTCACCGACACCGTTTGGTGACGAAGAGGGTATTAATATTTGCACACCTACATTTTCTTTTAGCTCACAACAGACCACAATGAAAATATTTGTCATAATCACAACACTTGGCAAGCTTATTGGCAAACTTAATACGCTGGTATTAGGTTCGCCAATAAGCTTGCCAAGCGCACTGGTAATACGTGGTAATAAGCTTATACGTGGTAGCTATATTAATAGTATAGTTGTAGCACGAAGATGGATCACGCTCTCACAGAATATCAGCGTAAAATAGCTGCTTAATGCTTCCGTGTTTCATATGGCGAGTGTAGAGAACCGAAGACCCCATAGAGTATTTATAAGCAAGCTATTATAAATATTCTGAGGGAGACCCCTTTTACTAGAAACGAGACATTCCCTCTTAGTCGTCACGGGTGACAGCGCATCTGCATTTTAATTTGTAATCGAGGATAGATGTAGGTGTCTATGGGCCACAGCAACCACTTACCTTCAGGTGGACTGTGTAGTTGCTTGTCACCTATATCCTGTAAAAAAATTATGCCGATAGCTCATTACCGTGGTTCGTGGTCCATATATGGGCCTTTATTCAGCAGTTGACTTAAGATGTGATCTAGTACGTAATCGAGACCCACAGGATATTGTTGGATAACATATTCTCCTACACCGCCTGGTTGGTTGAAATTATAAAATTATATACACCTCAACTTTTTCTGCGTAACTTAATTCTGTTTTAGTGAGCACATATGACAGTTTGGCTAAGGCGGCTTCAGCGGTCATATCGAAGGCTGGCACTACACCACACTCCACAAGCAACTGCAAAAAAAAAACGAATTTTCTATTTAGGTTGTGTTTTGTTTACGTAACACATACGTGTTTACTGCGTGGCAGGACTCGTTTTCTGTCTAGAAGTCCGTCTAGGGTGGTAACACTGACTTACTGATTTCTACTGACTTGTTCCAGCTCATTCACTGATTTGATCCAGCGTAAAAATTAAGAGAGCTAGAATAATTTAAGTTTATTTTGTCTTAGTCCTCCGAGGTGAGAACTTAGCTTTGAAGTCTGTTTGATGTTGATGGCAGATGTTCATGAGCTGCAGTAGCTACTTAAAATCAGGTGGGTTGTTAGTCGCGCTTGAAATTTAGTCGAAATAAAAAGAACAATGCGCCATGCTACTCTAAAAAAAATCTATTTTAAAATCTTTACCAGTGAACCACGAGCTAAGTAGAGAAACTTAAGCGGGTTAAGCATATTTACATACGAACATAATATATTATAAAAAGAAAGTATATCAACCTATACATGAATATTTAAGAATGTTAGCCACTGGAGGACGAAAAGTAATGATCAGACACTATTCTCTCAAAGGCAGCAACATAATTCTGTTTCTTAATAGATAAAAGTAACTCAGCGGTGAAATACTGAAACATAAATTTGGTACGGTCGCCAGATCGCATTTTACGATCGTGAGAAGAACCCCAATAACGAAACTTGTATTTCAGGTATAATATTGGTGTGTGTAATATTTAAAAAAGATATGTTTTTAACTAGTAATGCTATTTACATCATTAATATTCCATCACAACTAGGTACTTCAAGTAAGCTTAAAATGCTTGTGTTAGTAGTGGTTCATGACAGTAGTCGAATAACGGATTCGAACCCACTACTTTCAAATTGGCAATTCGTGCCCTAACTATTAGATTTCTAATAATTTTCGTTAGGTCCTCCAAGCATTTTGTTTACTTCCTAGATGGTTGCTAGCGTTCGGATCGAGATATGTGTGATTATATTACAAAGAAACGGGTGTATTCATAATCATTTTTAAACAGTTCATTAGTTAAAAAGTGTTTTGTCTCATTCTGACATTTGCGAGATACTTGTTGCTAGAAAGTGACAAAACACTTTTTAAAAATGATTATGAATACACCCGTAAATCTTTAGATTCATTTAAAAAATCTTACCAATCCAGTTTCATAAATAGCTTTCCCTAGGACGGTACCGTTGACACACTGGGTCACGTTAACGACTAGGACATTTTTTTTGACCGCCCGCTCTATTTCCTTGTAAATCTCCTTACGTTTGATAGGAATGTTGCCATTGCCATATGTTTCTAATACTACACCTGAAATCACATTTTTTTTAAATTTTTATTTTATTTGCACAACATAGAGAAAAAGACAGACTTAACGCCACTAGGTCTTCTGTACCAGTCTAAACTTAGGTAAACAGAGAATATAATATAATGGGTGTATTTACGAATTTCGGTCCCAACGACCAGTTTCAAGCAGAGACTAACCATATGCGCAAGACAGGATTACAGCAAACAAATGTGTGTGCAAGCATGAGTGCTCTTTCTATTCCGACAGGACGACAATCTGACACAACCGAAAAGAGATCATTCACAGGATCAAAGGCTTTAAGTGCTTTCCGTGGCACGGTAGTGAAATACCGCCAAATTCCAAGCTTCGGGCTGCTATAGACTTTGTTCATAAAAAAATCCAATAAATTTCGCCCACCACGGGATTCGAACCCGGGACCACACGATCAGCAGCATCATTAACTCTTACGTAAGCTGACATTAATTGAATTAAAAATAAGTATGAACTTCTGCACTGCAGAAAACTGGTTTCAATGTTAATTCGAACAACAGTTTCTTAATTATTAAATTTTGTTTAGATACAACTAATATTATTAGAAATACGTACCTTCCATACCCTCGCACACTGTCCGAATTAATTCTGCAGTAATTGTAGGCGCAACTTTAAGTACGTAAACTTTACTCGAGAGCTTGTCATGAATCCTACATTCATCAGGCACTGTTCCTCGCGGATGTAGAAGCATTTTCGGATCTATGTCTAGAGTTGTCTTTGCCTCAAGTATAGGAGGGAAATTCGGTGAATCGAAAGCGTAAATGCGTGTATTTGAAACCTTTTTTATTCTGAAAATAAATAGTAATATTCTTTAATTACTTGCATTCAAAATAAATAATACATACTTCTTATATCCTCTGCTTCTGCTTTACCTCTCCTGTATTTTACAGAAGCAGGGTTATGTTTTGCAAATATGTATATACATAATTTTTATATATAAAAATTACGTGTCACATTGTTTGTCCGCGATGAACTCCTAAAGTACAGAACTTATTTCAATGAAATTTCGCACACTGTGTGCAGTTTGGGCCAACTTGAGAGATTTTATTGCAAATTTAAGGATTTTTTTCATAGGAAGGGTCGTTGGAAAGGGCAGAACAACGTCTGCCTGGCCAGCTAGTATTATATGAATGTCAATATCAATATATACGGTAGTTAATCTGTAGAAAAGTTTTGTATGTATGTCTTATATTTTTGAGGTAAAATGGTAAACATCTCTTTCCGATGCTCGGTTATTGATAAATTTTATTATAATAAACGTCACGCCACCGTACTGTGGCAGCAGTGGCAGACTAGGCACGTACCTAGCGCCGCATGTTAAAAACAGTATCCAAGTCCTAATTATTTTGCAACTATTAAACTATACTATAAATTATAATATAGTTTTTTTACAAAATTAGTAGTTATAATTTATAGTATACTAGCTCGCCAGGCAGACGTTGTTCTGCCCTTTCCAACGACCCTTCCTATAAAAATCCTTAAATTCGCAATTAACAATTTTGACGGTCATTTATCGGGATAAAAACTATCCTATCTCTCAAGTTGGACCAAAATGCACACAGTGTGCAAAATTTCATTACAATTAGTTCAGTAGTTTAGGAGTCCATCGCGGACAAACAACGTTACGTAATTTTTATATATAAAGATAAAAGTGCCACATTGTTTGTCCGCGATGAATTCCTAAACTACTGAACTGATTTTAATGAAATTTTGCAGACTCTATTCAGTTTGGTCCAACTTGAGAGATAGGATAGTTTTTATCCCGATAAATGACCGTCAAAATTTTTTATTGCGAATTTAAGGATTTTTATAGGAAGGGTCGTTGGAAAGGGCAGAACAACGTCTGCCTGGCGAGCTAGTTTTTATACATAAAGATGGACGCTAGAGAGGCGCCGTTGAGGTGCTAGCCTAGGACGCCTTCGACATTTAATCCGCCTCTGAGTGACAGCATCAAAAATCCGCTACCACATATCATCCCGTGGTCTTATATAAAGTACTTTTTAAATAATACAAACTCGATTTTTTTGATTTTTTACGTGGTAGAGCCATGCTGCAGCTATATTAATAGTATAGTTGTAGCACGAATGGGTCGGCTCGACCGGGGAAGGACCACGCTCTCACAGAAAACCAGCGTAAAATAGCAGCTAAACGCTGCTGTGTTTCGTATGATGAATGTAGAGAACCGGAGACCCTTTTTACTGGCAAAGAGGCATTTCATCTTAGTCCTCACGGGTGACAACGCATCTGCATCTTGAGTCTTTATTGAGGATAGATGTAGATGTCTATGGGTCATAGTAACCATTTACCATCAGGTGGACTGTGTGCTCGTTTGTCACCCTATCCTATAAAAAAATCATAATATCGGGAATGACAACTAGAACAAGATTGGGACCATATTGACAGGATGATGATGATAATAATGGGAATTAAGGAAAAGCTGTCTTACCGGCAGCCTCTGAAGAGTCTTGCACCGAAGAACACAGTGACCTCGGGTATGTACTGAGTAGCGGCAATTAGAACAGCGCATAGAAAGTTATTGTTACCATCACTACGAGGCTGGAATATGGGCACCTGTGAAATATATTAAATATTTAAATAAAACTATTTTTTACGGATTGTATTGCGTACATTAACTTATTTTATATTCCCCACGTTTCGAGCACTTTACAGCACCCATGGTCACGGGGGGCTTAAATGTCTAATAATAATGCTACGCCTCTACTTTCTTACTCGTAATTAACTTAATACATTATCGGTCGAGTGCTAGTCAGACTCGCGCTTGAAGGGTTCCGTACCATCGCAATACACGTTTCTAGTGGGGGAGCCCCCTTTAATTTTTAATTTATTTTTATTTTTAGTACTTGTTGTTATATCGGTTACACATTCTGTGAAAATCTCAACTGTCTACTTATTACGGATCATGAGATACAGCCCGCTGACAGACAGACAGACGGACAGCGGAATATTAGTAGTATGGTGCCGTTAGTTACCCTTTGGGTACGGAATACTAAAAGCGTTCATATCTTCCTCAATATCGGAGAGGTTCATGTCTAACAATAGTATGTTAACTTAATGATAATGTAAAATGATGATTCTTCCTCTTTTCATCAGCCTGTGAAAGTTCACTGTTGAATATGATCCTTTTACGTTCCAGTAATGTATTTATCTCGCCGTGGTAGCTCAGATAGTTAGCGCTCGCTGTAAGCTTCACAGTACTAGAGCAACCCGGGTTCGATCCCCGCCGGCACCAATGAAATTGTTAATTACAGTTATAAGTGCTGATTTACCACGTGCTCAGCGGTGAAGGAAAACATCGTGAGGAAACCTGCATGTCTGAGAAATAAGAAAAAAAATATTTCGAAGACATTTCCTTGCCCTAGAACCCTCTCAGAAATGAGAGGATTCCTGTGCCCAGCAGTGGGACGTAAATAGGCTGCAACTTTACTTTTAATGTATTTATCTTAATTTCCACACTAAGCAGGCAGATTGATGGTCGCAGTACCGTACGTTTCGCACTTAAGACCCTGCTTCCAGTCACCTGTCTGAGTATTTTACGCCCGACGTAAACGAGATGATAATATAATATAACGCCATCTATCGGAAGCTATAGGATCTTTCTCGCATAACTCATAATCGTTTTTTACGGATACGAACCAACCACAAGGCAAATAGTGAGCAATTGGTCTAAATGTTTGATGTAAAAGTTTGTCCAATTTGCATCTGATAAAAACACTGTGTAAATACAATAAACAAACCTGAGCTCCTGTGAGGACAACAGGTTTTCCAACAGTCTCCAACATGAAGGACAATACTGAGGCTCCATACGCTGTAGTGTCTGTCCCATGGAGCACAACAAAGCCATCGTAGTCGTGATAGAATTTCTGTTAACAGACGAACACTTAGTTCAGCTACCACGTTTTTAAACTTGGGTTCCAAGCTAAAGGACTAACAGTTGAACAAATATAACTTTTTTTTGTTTTCAGGTCGTCTGGTTTAATGACTCTGACACTTTCATAAACTAACTCTGATCTTATTCCTTAGCAGTTTAATCTGATAAAAGTAGCTTAGATCGGGCGATTGTCTCTGGTTAGTTAACGATTGCTTTCGTGATTCTGGGACTATCGTAACTTACCTCCGGTCTTATTCTATAACAAATAAATGGAATAAAGGTAGTAATCAAGTGAGCACCGCAGGTACTAGAATTTGAGACTATTATAACATACTTCTGGTCTTATTCCATAACAGTAAAATCGAATAGGGATAGTTTAGGTCGAGTAAGTAACTATAGTATTAACGGTTTCACTTTCCGTTTAGCCGGTTTCAACTAATTGCAGCCGAATGCGGGTAGTTAAAATTAGGTGTCATTTGATTTATTTATGACTAAAATAGGTGTCGTTGCTATCGACTAAAATTAGGGGTCATTCTATTTATTTATGGCTAAAATAGGTGTAGCGAGTTGCTATCGGCTAATATTAGCTGTCATTCGATTTATTTATGGCTAAAATAGGTGTAGCGAGTTGCTATCGGCTAATATTAGCTGTCATTCAATTTATTTATGGCTAAAATAGGTGTAGCTAGTTTCTATCGGCTAATATTAGCTGTCATTCGATTTATTTATGGCTAAAATAGGTGTAGCTAGTTTCTATCGGCTAATATTAGCTGTCATTCGATTTATTTATGGCTAAAATAGGTGTAGCGAGTTTCTATCGGCTAATATTAGCTGTCATTCGATTTATTTATGGCTAAAACAGGTGTAGCTAGTTGCTATCGGCTAAACTTAGGACAGTATAATCCGAATAATAATTGAAATAACTATTGGTCAAATGCTCAAAAGCTACTCAATTTTAAGGTGTTAAGTCTCTTGGTGTCTCTATCACTTTGACTTAAAGTGATAGAGACAGCACTAGACTTAACGGCATCTTAAATTTGAGCAATGTTTGATTATTTGGGTATAAGACTTTTAATATTTAAAAAAAAAAATATTAGCAACAGTTGGTTTAGCCCTTGAGCTATCTCAGTCACTGACATTTATAGTAATATATATTATTTGGTATTTACCCAAAAAGCATGAGTAATTCTTAGTAATTCCAGACTTATTATTTCTACTAGTAGTATCCGTAACATGAATAAATCGAATGCACCAAAATTTAACAAACCGTAATCAATTGCACCAATAATTGTAGGCAGCTAAACCAAGTTTATATTAAAAAATACAAATAGTCGATTAAATAAAACAAATTTATTTATCCGTCATCTAGATCATTGATTCAGCTCATAGTAGGGCAATGCGCTACCTTATCTTACACTGCAAACACTAGAACATAAATATGTTAGATAACCTTATGTAATGTGTGACGAAGTAAAGATAATGAACACAATTATACTTTGATATATGTATATAAAAAAAAATCTTTACGTGGTAGAACCATGCTGCAGCTATATTAGTAGTATGGTTGTAGCACGAATGGGTCGGCTCGACCGGGGAAGGACCACGCTCTCACAAAATACCAACGTAAAATAGCAGCTTCACGCTGCTGTGTTTCGTATGGTGAGTGTAGAGAACCGGAGACCCGTTTACTGGAAATGAAGCATTCCATCTTAGTCCTCAAGGCTGACAACGCATCTGCATTTTGATTGGCAGACGTGGAGAGATGTAGATGTCTATGGGCCACAGCTACCACTTACTATCAGGTGGACTGTGTGCTCGTTTGTCACCCTATTTCTTTAAAAAAAATTTTTAATTTAAATCACCATATCTGTAACACTTTTCAATATACTATGACGTGTCTCTTCTTTTCTGAAACCGCCACCATGGTAATGGATATTCCGACACTAGCTGTGTCAGAATATTCACGACTATCTAAGAATATCCATTCCATATTGTGCCGTGGGTATCGTAAGAGTTGACAGAGAGAAATAAAACAGGAGATGGACAGCAGCAATTTTCCTGATAGCCATTTAAAAATAATTAAAAAAATGCGGTTCCCAACCCACTTGTCAATCCACCAACCACGGTAGACATGTCCCGTATGAAGCAATCTCGGGGGAGGCCTATGTTCAGCAGTGGACTTTTGTTAGACTATAGTGACAATGGTGCTGGTATTTCGGATATTACGTCTATAATTACCCAAAATAGTTTTTCATTTTACGTCTCATAATATAGTTAAGTCTGTTATTTTTCTGGCGACTTCCAAAAAGGAGACGGTATGTACTCAATTTGACTGTATGTTTTTTTATGTGTGTTACCTTATAACTTTTTACAGGATGAACCGAATTCGATGATTCTTTTTTTATTTGAAAGCTGGTACTTCTCGTGTTGTCCCATATGAATTGATCAAGGTCAGACCAATAGTTTTTGAGTTATTCTTAATATAACTTATATTGAAGTCGGCTGTACAAAATTTTTAATTTTAAATTATGTTCACTTAACTCTAATAAAGGAGGATGTTCTCACTTCAACTATATGTTCTTTTATGTACTCGTATGTACATTACGCGTTATGGTCGCCAAACGTGAATCTATTATAATGGTTCTCTTTTAATTATATAGTTTATAATTTGGAGGTAGTCCCAAAACTCCACACCCAAGGGTGGAAAATAGGGGATGATTTTTATTATAATTATTTAGACGAAATGCTTTATTAAATTATTTTGACCTTGATATTTCTTAGTCCACTCAAAAGAGTAGAACATTTTAATTTGCAATAGAACTAAAAGCTGACTTAAGGCTGGGTGTTCCAAGCGCATTGGGTATTATTTACAAGCGGTCGTCACAATGATCGCGATTTTTACAAAATAATCACAAAAATATTGCTTAAAAATTATAAACAAATATTTACACAATGAGAAATAAGCACACAAACAAAAGTTTAACTATAGTCTATATAAGTTCCATAAAACTATAGTTATTTACAATTTATTTTATTTCCTAAATATTATTTACGTAGCAGAAGAGGAGGCCTCGAAAACGTCCCGCAGGGTAATGGCAAGCGACGTGCGGATCGAAAATCACTTGAATAATCGATATTGTTTTTTTTTAATAAATGTAATGAAAAACAACGATCGGGTCGAATTCATTCCAAAATGAATTACAATTAAATTGGAACGAAGTTCTTTACCGCACGGCACGAATTTGACGGATGAGAGCTAGGCGAGAAAAAGTGTAAGATTTTTCCGTGACGATCTCCTTTTCATAGTGCGAGCGAGATGGAATAATATCCATCTCCCTCGCATTTTTTCTTATCTTGTCATGAAAGAAATATGCCATCAAAAACATAACTTGTAAAAAAAACCAAGTCTCGCAACTCAGTTCTTCTACCGTAAAAAGTTGTGAGATCCATGTAATACCAAGTTGGTTAATTTATTCAGTCCCTACTTATTAAGGGTTACTCTGTCTTAAGTTATTACGTAATTAGCTAACCTAACAATATCATATAGTGGCCACATCAATACTAAAAATATTTTATATTTTAAATAAATGAAAACACAATGTATCTCTCAAGCAATACATATTATATTAAATTGGATTGTTTAGTGCGATTGCCAAGTCAATTTATTTATCTAAAATATAAAAGATATTATATTTTAAATAAATAATATTTAAAATATAATATCTAAAACTTATATAAAAAATATAATTCCTAAACTGACCTTAATATCTCTGACCATTTTTAGCCAGTCGTCGATGGTAAAATCTGATGAATCCTTCAATTCTTCATACTCATAAATCCTGTACAGTATTTTCAGTTCTGTGTCTTTTCCATCTGAAATGTGTCCACGTGATTAACATGGGGGAAAAAGGTTCTCGAGTTGCAGCCTCGTACCAGTAGGCGAAGTGTAGGGCGACCCCCCACTAGATGGAGTGAAGACCTGGTAGGACATGCAGGAAGTCGATGGATGCAGGTGGCTCAGGACCGTGCTTTGTGCCATTCCTTGGGGGGCCTATGTTCAGCAGTGGACTTGTGAAGGGCTGTAATGATGATAATGATGATGATTAACATAAAAGATTTTAGTTATCTGACTACTAATATTGATAGCATATTGGCTTTTCTAATGGCATATCCATTCTGCCAGCTAATTGTTTGTAGTTCAAATTTCCTAGAATAAGGGTGACAAACGAGCAACACAATCCACCTGATGGTAAGTGTATACTGTCTGTGGCCATAAACATCTACGTCTATTCTCGATTAAGAATGCAGATGCGTTGTCACCCGTGAGGACTAAGGTGGTTTGCCTCGTTTCCAATAAAAAGAGTCTCCGGTTCTCTACACTCACCATACGAAACAAAGCAACATTGGGTGTTCCACGCTGCTATTCTATGAGAGCGTGTTCCTTTTCCGGACGAGCCGAACCAATCGTGCTACAACTATAATACTGTAGCATGGCTCTACCACGTATAGATTGACAAAGATATGAATATGATTCCGTTTTTAAAAATGCGACCTACCTATCTTGTGATATCAATATATCATATGATGTTTGTCCAAATATTTGAAGATATACTTAAATTTAATATTCATAAATGTCTAGGATTGTTTATGATTAATTATAATAATAAGTAACCACGTCGCACGGTGGATAATGTACCAAATGTGTGTAAAATGTTTAAATTTTTTGCATTTGAAATCACTTGATCAACACGGGACCGCGTCTTTTAGCCATCAAACATGTGCTTATAAAAGAGGCTACAACCTTTTTGCTTTAAAACTATAATATTTTTTTAATATTATTATAACTTAAAGTTAAGCAATGCGAAAGATCGCTATATTCAAATATCACAAGTAAAAATAAGTTCAATTTGGTAAGTAATTGCAATAGAGTAAATCTATAACTGAAAAATAAGAAATGATTGAAAAATATTTGTAGCGCGTAGTGCTACCGGCTGAACTCCGTTGTAGACCACATTTTAGGAGCCAAGACTGCTCGATCGATCGATTCGAGCATTCACTCGCATTCGACAGCGAGAACGTAAACGCACGTGATTGGTTGTTTCAAGAATTTTGCGAGTGCGAGTTCCAATTTTGATAAAGTTTACGCGGTCGATATCTAAAAAGTTTTCACCTAAATTTTGACAGTGAGAAAGCATAGTGAGAACGATTGTTGAAGGTTTAATTTTATTTCGGTTTGTGTGAACAATATTTAATTATGGCAGGACGTTTTTTTTCGCATGGAGGATGTTTACAGCCGCTAAGGTACAAGATGAGCGCAATTATAAAGCCAATGTTGAAAGAAGAACTCGTGCATCTTTGAACACTTTGTTACACCTCACGGGGAGGCACTTTAAAGATAGATATCGCATTTCCAAGAAAGTCTTCAAGTTTTTGTGTAAAGAGCTAAGGAGTTTGACAAATCTTAGGTCCTCTCAACGCGTTTCCTTGGAACATAAAGTATGTATCGATCATTAAAGTATTCACATTTTTGCAACTCAAGTTTAAAACAAGTGCAAGTTTAAATATAAGTTTGTTCTCTTTTTAATTGCAGGTGCTCACTGCTCTATTCTTTTTTGCAACTGGATCAAATAATGTGTAGTGTGTACATAGAAGAAGTTACCCAGCGCTGACACACAAAAATATAATAAATAAATATATTCGGTTCCCTGATACTCCAGCTGCTAGACAAGCAGTTAGTCAACGATAATAAATATATGCTTATTTTTAAACAACCTAATGCAAATTAATCATTAGATTCAGTTAATATTTATTTTAAAATTCAGTTTTTACAGAAAATATGAAATCCCTGGAGTGGTAGGTTGTATTGATGGAAGTCATTTTAAAATAGTTGCCCCACCAAAAGAAGAGGAACATTTGTATTATAGTTGTAAGCACTACCATTCACTTAATGTTCAAATGGTAAATATTAAGTTTTTTTATTTTTCCTTGGTTAAAAAGGGGTAGAAAATAAACAAAATGTCTTCTTTTCAGGTATGTGATGATGAATATAGAATTTTAAATGTGAATTCCAAGTTTGGAGGTGCTAATCATGATTCCTTTATATGGGAAAACAGTAATTTAAACACATACATGCAATCTTTGCACCAAAATGGAGAAATTGTCTGGCTTTTAGGTAATATATCCACAGTATAACTTATTGGGATGTTTTGAGTTATATGAAGTATTTTTAAGTAAAACATTACTAAATAATTTCTATCTATATTATTGACAATAACATGTATATTTTAACTCTAGGAGATTCTGGATATCCCCAACGCCCATGGCTTATGACACCATTTTTAGACACTGAGTCCAATAATTATAATGAAAAACACATGAGAGCTCAAGTTGTTATTGAGAACACATTTTCAAGGCTGAAAAATCGATGACAATGTCTGCACAAGGATAGAGTTTTGCACTACAAGCCCGTAAAATGTGCACACATTATTTTAGCATGCTCTGTGTTACATAATATAATTATTAATTTTGGTGTTGAGGATACAGAGGAAAATATAGGTAGGTATCTTAATTTTAAATTGAATTACTATAATATATTAAGCTAACTTATAAACAGTAAACTTATTAATTATGATTTATTTTTAGGTCTGCAATTTGAAAGAATGGTGGAATCTGATCAAATAAGTTACACAGAAAGAGAACCTACCTCTGATTTAATTCAAGGTAGAATATTAAGAGATCAATTAGCAAGAAGGTTACTATAGGGATTAAATAAATAAATTTGAATAAGCTTAAATCTTTCTTTTATTTATAACCAGCCTTAAATTTTATCACAAATTTAATTAAATAATTACAATTACAACTTAATACAATAATTTAATAATTACAAGAACATTGAAACAGAACAGAAAAGTAATCTAAATTATTTTGTAGAGCCATGCTACAGCTATAATAGTAGTATAGTTGTAGCATGAATAGGTCGGCTCGACCGGGGAAGGACCACGCTCTCACAGAATACCAGCGTAAAATAGCAGCCTAACACTGCTGTGTTTCATATGGTGAGTGTAGAGAACTGGAGTCCCTTGTGCTGCCTGCTCTGTGTGTGCTGGCCTCACTCGTCTTCGAGGTGATCCTCGAGTACGAATTGGTCTTGCACGGCAAGGTGTAGTTTGCCCCGACAAAGCAGGCCCTGGTTGACTTTCTTGGCAACATGAGGTTGTGTTGATTGCCCTGGGTCGTTCCAAGATTGAGAACCTTAAATATGAAAAATATAAATGAAACTTTCAACAGAATCAATATACCTAGTAGTTGTGTACAAGAACCAAAAAGACAAACAAGTTGGCTTTTTTTTTGAAGCAAATACATACATAAACACTCACGCCTGTCACCCAGAGGGGTAGGCAGAGACTACGGACTTCAATGTTTCATAGAATTAGAGAACCAAAACCCAGTTTAAACCAAAATATATAAAAATAAATAATCATTTATTACACCTTCTTCCATTTCTCAGTACTTTTTGTATCACCACTACCATCACTATTCAAAAATTGAGCTAATTCCTCCCAGTTTTATATACAAGCCATCCTACCTCTTGCATTATTGGATGGTTTGCTGAGATCTCCATGCCTAAAACCAATAAACTTAGTTACAAAATATACAACAACATATTAATATGTTCCCTAAACACTAAATAAATTAAATTCAACTTACTGCTCCATAATTGTCACCATCAAATCGAATTGGGACGAACTAGTCTTCATATTTTTTTACTTATAATTATAATTTAATATTTTCAATAATCGTAAGTTCACAACAAACAAACTGTCAAAGTATATGAAAGATGCTATAATAACCACAACTTTGATAGACAGCTTCTAATATTAAGACGACTAAGTAACTATGTCATCCTAAACTTGGTTAGTTTATTTCACGACGCTAACGTATTACCAACATAAGAGAAGGAACGAACGCGATTCACGGTGAGTAAACGCGAATCGAAAGGTTAGCTTTTCCCTATATATAATGTACTCTGTGGTTAGCTTCGATTGTAACACACACTCGCTTGTCTTCACTTGTCGATAGGTATGGCGTTAACTCGGTTAACGCGATGGTGAAGTCTTTCGAATTATTTTGTGGAACTCGCACTAGGCACACGGACTCCGCCTGGATTTTATCACAGAAAGCAATTCCACCATACCGACCATACCTGTCTACACGTCGCGTGATCAATTGAATACAACAACAAACACATTGCTTTTGAAATTTGAATTTTACTATAAACTAGCTGATACCCGTTGATTATATATGTGATGTTTGATACATTAACAAAGAAAACACACATCATTGAACACGTAGTGCTTATAAAAATCGTTGTTTCTTAAAACTTCAATAATATATTAAATTTTATCACAATTTTTTTAAATAAGGACCAAGTGTCTAAGAAACAAAACTTAGAAAACCTAATTAAAATCTATCCAGTAGTTTTCCCGTGATGCGCGCACAACTGCAAACCTCTATCATTTTATTTATATAGATTAGAAGAAAAATATACTTTTTAAGGCTGTTGCTAGTAGCTGAATTAAAATAAACGTATATTAAAAAAAAACAAATTGTAGTTTCAAACTGTTGGGTTTTTTGCCAGAATTCCGGTTGACGAGCGTACTTTTGTCTAAAATCAAGATTTTGAAGCACCTACAACCGGATCTCCAATTTCAGGCCCTGATAAACCTAGTCTAATGGGAGTTATAACCTTGACTTAATTCAGATTTATACTGTGTAGCACGGACCATACAAAATATGCAAATGCTTGTGCACTAGACCAATTTTTTTTAATTAAAAAATCAATAGCACATACCAGGTATTGCAAGGTATTCTTTCATTTCCGTGTGAGCTAAATTTTTCTGCCAGTAGGCATTGTCGTGTAGCTGAGGAAGTCTTCTTATAACTTGTTCTATATTCTTCTGTGGTACTAGTACTGAAAGCACGAAAATCTCATTTAATGGTTTATCTATGTAGAGGTCTTGTAAGAATGTCCACTACCCCATATCATCCCGTGGGTGTCGTAAGGGGCAACAGAGGTAAACACATCAGGAGTCGAGTATCAGCATCTTCCCTATATCGACTAAAAAAATGCGTGAGTGTCGTGGAACACTCGGTTGGAACGATTTTTTTTAAATATTCCAAAATATTTAAAAGAATGTGTTGTGCAGCCAAGCCTTTGTATTTAAGAAACAAAATTAAGTATGCCTCTATTAAAATTAAAATGACTTATAATCAATAATGAAACTGGCAAGATGAAACTACACAACTCAAACTTTCAATTAAATGTTAACAATAATTTGACAAAATCAGATCAAGACGTCGCAACGGCTTTTGAACAATATTTTACCGAAATTCCAATATTGATTACAAAGTCACTCAATTCCTACCCTGTTGTCGCCGAGTCATTAGTCAAAAAAATGTAAAAGTCTGCAAAAAGAATTTGCATTTCATAGAATATTATCAGGTGATATTGTGAAATATTTCAAAACTATTGATAATAAGAAAATAGCAGATCTATGGGAGATTTCTGTTAAAGTTATTGCGTCTATAATAGATGCAATCGCACCCCATCTTGCTATTATTTTCAATGCTAGTATCGAATCTGGTGTGTTTCCTGATTTAATGAATTTAGTAAAGTTATACCTTTATTTAAATCTGGCAGTACATTGGACCCCACTAATTTTAGACCTATTTCTGTACTGCCAAGCTCAGTAAAATTTTTAAAAAAGTTATTCTACATCAAATGTTAAGTTATTTAATGTAAATAAATTACTTCATAACAATCAGTTTGGACTTACAAGGTGTCGCTCGACATCTGATGCCGGTATTGAGCTTATCAAACATATATTCTGTGCATGGGAAAATTCAGAAGTTGCTTTGGGTATATTTTGTGATCTTTCCTAGGCTTTCGACTATGTTCACCATTAGACATTAATCAGGAAGCTATATCATTATGATGTAAAAAACATAGCGCTTAAACTTATTATGTCATATCTAAATAATAGAACGCGAACAGTTGTTAGTAATGGATACAGATCTTCCAGATCGTAATATCTATGGGTGTTCCTCAGGGCTCAGTTCTTGGTCCCTTTTTGTTCTTAGTTTATATTAATGACTTACCTTACTTGGTAGGTGTGACCATGATATAGTATTATTTACTGATGACACTTTGTTGACTTTCCGACTAAAAAGGCAATTATTGAAATATGATGAAGTGAATAATGCTATATCAAAAGTAGTCCCAGAAAATATGCAGACCTTTTCTATCAAAAGGTTATAAATTATTTATTAAGAAAACTTGGCTAGTAAGGGTTATTATACTACTAAAGAGTAAATGACTGATAATAACCCCTGGGAACACACTGCTGTTTCTAAATGTTTTCATAACAATTATATAAAATATTATGTTGTAAATTGTGCCTTATTTAAAAATAAGTCCCGCTAGGTTTCTTGCTGGTTCTACCCAGGACAGAGGTTTTTATTTTTTGCGAACCAGTGGTAAAAGTAAAAAATTACTTTCAATAAGTATTATATATTGTAATCTATATTGAATAAAAATGATTCTATTCTCATCATAAAAATCGGTTCACAATCGGAGAAGATATCGCATACCCTTTCGTTGTTGACTTACCACGCATTGGAACCAAACGGTTTGCCGATTACAATGTGAGTGTCTTCAATACAAAAGTTAAGGCCTTAAGTGCGGGTAAAATTCCTAAATTCTTGGATATTTAAGTAAAAACATCACATTAACTGTTTAAATTTAATCCGCAAAGAAAAAATACAGATTGACAGAAGAGGATTTAATAAATGTATTTATTAGTAGTATTTCTGTTGATCTTTTATAAGAAAAAATATCCCAAAAGAGTACCTATATTTGTAGTATTTTGGAAATTTGTCTAAAACGGCACAAGCTCTTTAAATAGTTTTTACATAAAAAAAAGGTCTTATAAATATTAATATTTTTAATTGAGTTTATTTTAGTTGCCAAAGAGAATTTAGAAAAATTTCAAAAAAACGTCACCCACATTTTATTATATTACGTTTAGTTAAGATATAATTATAAGCCTACGGTGTTATTACATAGTGTTAGCTTGTATATAAAGATTATATACTACGGACGGACACATTAGTCTGACGTGGTCTGAATGGAATAATTATTTTAATTGTGCCACGCGGGTCACTCTGTCGGACAACAAAAAATTTCGAAATATTACAAATAAAAGGGGTGTTCAAAAAATAAAAAATGAAGAAAAGGCCAAACAATCACGAAGAAATTGTCTTGGATGTTACAAGAAAAGCGTACAAACTATTGGCAGGCAAAAAGTACGCAACAAAACAAAAAAGCTTGTAACCGAGTTCTGTCCGATTTGCCCCGGAAAGTCACACTTGTGCCTAGATTGCTTCAATTTTCAACACCGTTAGGTCTTTTTTTGATTTATAATTATTTTTAGTGTCTAAAGTTAATACGCATTAAAAAAAAACCATTGACAATTGACGTCATATTCAAATAAACAAATGATTAGATAAGTGATGTTTTTATTTTTTTATTTTTCGTCTCTAGCATTCCAACTATTCAAAAAAATTAGGGTGACACATTATTTTTAATACTCTACAGGGCCGCGCGGGTCACTTAGTATGCGCAAATCTAATGAAAAAGTGGCCGCCGGCCTGTAAACGTAAGTCAAAGTAAGGTGTGCCGGTGTGTCGGACACCATTGTCCGACACGGCCTGAATGAAACATTTACTGGCGGTCACCATTGTCCGATATGGCGACCAACGTGTTAATTAATATTCTCCGTTTTACTTGAGAAAATTATAGTGTAATGCTGTGTATTACATCTTAGTTCTCACAAGTCACAGCAAAAGCAAATTACAAACTCCCTTTTATGATATACTAGCGATCAGCTCCAGCTTCGCACGAGTTATTTCTGGATCTTGACAGCAGCGCCACCTACCGCGTCCATTTGTGAACCTAAACCATCCACGGACCCACTCAAATACACACAAAAAATTTCATCAGAATCGAGACTAACGAACAGCAATTGATTTTTATTTAGAGATATGCAGTAAAGTTTTGAATCGTCAGAAAATATATAAAAATATTTTTAAATGGTTCGAAACAAAAAAAAAATTGTAGAGCCATGCTGCAACTATATTAGTAGTATAATTGTAGCACGAATGGGTCCGCTCGACCGGGGAAGGACCACGCTCTCATAGAATACCAGCGTAAAATAGCAGCTTAACACTGCTGTGTTTCGTATGGTGAGTGTAGAGAACCGGAGTCCTTTTTTACTGCAAAAGAGGCATTCCATCTGTGGCACGAGGATAGATGTAGATGTCTATGGGCCACAGCAACCACTTACCATCAGGTGGACTGTGTACTCGTACGTCACCCTATCCTATATTAAAAAAAAAGAAACATTTTTGAAATTTAGTATAAGCATGCCTCTTTTGAAGTGTTTTAATTTATATTTTTAAAATATTGGCAAGGCAAGTAAATAATTTAAATATTACATATATTTTCAATCACTAACCTCCTTTTTCATTTTTGAGCATACCAAAAGTCCCACCGGTATAAATGACAAGCACGCGCTTAAGTTGAGTCATTTTTTTCTTAATTATTAAAAAGAAATGAACGATAATTCACACAAGTGGACACAACTGATCACACACGAGGAAAATGAGCCAGTTAGCTTAATAGTGGTATCGTTTGTGTACACGAATTGATAAACAGACATAAATGACATTATGACGATGACAACGGCACAACGACAACGACAGTAGATCTGTTATCGAACGCTAATTAGGGGTCAATTAATGTTTATTATGTTATGTAAAACTATTACATATTTACATCTTACATACTTTATTCATATAAAATATGAGTTTCCTTGTGAAGGTATTTTTTAATATTTTATTCTATATAATGTATGTTGAAAATATATCGGTTTATCTGCCTACCTACACGAGTTTATATAATGGCATTACATCACATACAATATATATTAACAGAAAAATTCTAACAAATTTATATGAATGTTAGAATGAATGTGGAATGTGCCTAAGTTTGACCAGTGCGCTCCAATAAATGACCACTTTTGCGCCAATAGTTGACCACTGAAAAACTTATCACGAGAAGGTAGCTAATTGAAAATAAAACACTATTTTGTTACACAAATTGACTTTCATATGATGACTGAAAGTTTCTCTTGACTTACAACTAATTTTAATAGCACAGTCGAAGGTAACTAGGTAACAATTAGAAGACAAACATGAAAATTAGAACATTAACGTTAACAACGCTTATTAGCAAACTTCAATCAAAAAATAGCTTTGCACATAAATTATCAGTATCACCTATCACAGACTTTGAATTAAATAAATCAGTCTCATCATATTGAGGTAGGCGATTTTGACAAAATCTTATCAAGAAACCGGTAAATTACCAAAAGAACTAGAAAGCTTTATCTTATACTAGTTGTTCCCCGCGATTTCGCACGCGTGGAGTTTTTTGCGCGGAACCCTAAAATAAAAGTCACCTAACTTACTCATTATAAAATCAGCAATCTGCCAGTGAAAGTCCCATCCAAATCGATTCACAGGTTTTTGCGTGATGCGTGTTCATGCCAAAATAGCTCGCAGACGACAGATTTTCTTCAGACTTACGCATTTATTGTTATATTTTGGTCAGTTTACACAATATTTTTATGAATTATAGCTTATGTGTTATTCTAATGTGTGAGCTATATTATAGAAATGTTTCATTAAAATGAATTCAGTAGTTTTTGCGTTAAAGAGTAACAAACATCCATACATGCTCACAAACTTTCACATTTATAATATTAGTAGGATTAGTAGGATTAGTAGGATTCATTGTAAAAGTTTGGTCATGTCTTCAACCTTGTAGGAACCTCTGGCATTTATAGAAACAGGTGCTTTTATAACTCCAATGATGCTGTCACGGTCATACAATATAATCTTCTTTTTCAAGCCATTTGAAAATGGTCGCAGATGATAACATCATAGTACTGACTTCAGCATTACATCCATCAATGTTTTTGATTATCCCAGGGAAATTTTAATTTTTTGTTTAGATGCTTGGCTACCATTGGCTTTTGGTGGTGTCGCTTCAAGATTTTTTACGTGGAGCCATGTTACAGCTGTATTAGTAGTATAGTTGTAGCACGAATGGGTCAGTTGGATCGAGGCAGGACCACGCTCTCACAGAATACCAGCGTAAAATATCAGCATAACGCTTCTGTTTCGTCAGGTGAGTGTAAAGAACCGGATACCCTTTTTACTGGAAACGAGACATTCCACCTTAGTCCTCACGGTTGACAACGCATCTGCATTTTGATTCGTAATCGAGGATAGATGTAGATGTCTATGGGCCACAGCAACCACATACCATCAGTTGAACTCTGTGCTCGTTTTTCACCCTTATCCTATAAAAAATCCTGTGGGAGTAGGGTAACTTCCTTTTCTTCTGGCTGTTAGATTGATAGTCCAAGTCCAAAATCAGTTAAAGATGTGCTCTCTTATTATTTGGCTGTTTCCAATAAACAATAATTCTTAACGTTAGCGTTAATCCACCTAGATAATACAAACTCTTCTTGTAGAGTCAAGATAGTTGGTGGTCCCATTATCCGTTGAGAATGTCTCATTTTCAGTTTGTTTATAACAGTCGGGTAAGATACAATATTTTCGACATATTCGCCTTATTTTAGCGCCTTTATGGATTTCATCGAGATACTTAAGCAAATTTAGCTCTGTATATTTAAAAAATCTAAATTGTCAAACAAAAGCATCGCTATAAGTAAAAGAACAAAAAAGAAACACCATAAGCAACCAATTTCAAACCAGTTGTTAAACAATAGGAACTCAGTACAAGGTGTGTTCCAGTAGTTAACCACCTTTAAAAATACTTGATATTGGCATTATTTAATAAAAATAACACCGCATAGCACTTAAATAAACAAAACTTTTTAAATAATACAACTTGATGACAGTAATTAGAAAATAATAGATAATATTAAAATATTGAACTTATCGTGACGTGCAAGTCTAACTGTAATGGTGGCCGAAAGCCAGTAAACGAGACACTGGTCTGAGAAAAAGAGCTAGCTATCGATATTTTTCGTTTACTCTCGCAAAAAAATGATGTTCGGAAGATTGTTTATAGTCTAGGCTACATAATAAAACTATTGAATTCTTAAAAATGCCCGCCATTTCTTAATTTATTCAATGGAACATATGAGTGGTCAACCACCGGTACCTGGTTTGGGACTGGTACACCCATCCTATATACAATGTGTTAATTTTACACTTGATCAAACGAAATGTGCGGATACTAGATAAAAAATTATCGGTAAAAAATCGAAAAAAAATTTTTTTATGTAAACTGTTTAAAAAATAAAAGCATTTGAATTTTTTTTTTGTTAAAATTCCCATCCTTCGGTTTTAAATTATTTTCTCTTTAAGTAAACGGTGTATTTTTTTCAAAGTAGTTTTATTTGGAAGTTAGAAAGATTAACTAGCAATAAAAATTAAAAAAACCTACGACATCAAGCAGGAAATTTGTCAAAAAAATAATAATATAATTTTTTTTGTTAAAAAAATACTTTTCTTTTTAATTTTTGGTCTGTAACTTCAAAACTAGTACATTGAGATAACCTTTTTAGCATGTTTTATTAAACTACGTAGCTTATTGTACAAGTTCTCCAAAATAACATGCGTTCTATCTCCTTTCATTTTTAAAATAATAATCATCAAAGAATGCCATCGGTATGTTGATTTGCGCTTATGCGCCCCACCTACCTCTAATTTGAACACCCCTGGTCGAACAATAGCAGGTAAAGATAAAAAGAGATAGATCAATAAAAGGCGAAACAAGTGAGTGAGAGAGTGAATTGTCGTTTGAATGAAATTTGGGTCTCGTTCTCGTAAGGCATGCAGGCAGCTTTAGCTATTTTAAACAGTTCATCTTGTAACGTTACCTAATTTGCACGTTGAATACGCTCACCATTTTTTTCGTCGTTATGCCTTCTACGATAGACTCATTGTCTGCTCGTGAAGTAGCTGACATTCATTACATTTACGGGTTTTGTGATGGCAACGCTCGCGCCGCCTCTCGAGAGTATCATCAGCGATTCCCGACAAGACCTGCCGTTGACTACAGGGTTTTCTTAGCAGTACATCGAGAATTAAGTGAAAATGGACTGCATCGCCCACATCGTGAACGTGCTTCTACTGTACCGGTGGATGTGGATGAACAAGTGTTGCGTTTGGTGTACCAAGACCCCATAATTAGTACTCGACGAATAGCACTCCAATTGGGGATTAATCACGTCCAAGTGTGGAAAATTTTGAAAAAGGAATGTTTGTACCCTTTTCATTTTCGAAGAGTGCAGAATTTGCACGAGCCAGATTACGTCGGAAGAAGTGTTTTCTGTTCGTGGCTATTGCGGCAAAGACGATTAGTCCCGAAATTCTGTGACCGTATTTTGTGGACCGATGAGGCAAATTTTAACAGAACTGGAATCACAAATTTTCGAAACCTTCACTTGTGGATGCCGGAGGAAAAAAATCCCTTAGCAGTTCGGCCAGCGTCCTTTCAAATCGAATTTTCGATTAATGTTTGGGCTGGAATGATAAGTGATTACTTAATCGGACCATTTATTCTTCCGTCAAGGTTGACAGGCCCAGCTTACCTAACATTTCTACAAGAAGAGTTACCTGACCTGATGAGTGATGTGGATCTACAAACAAAGAGGAAGATGTGGTTTCAGCATGACGGCGCTCCAGCTCACTTCAGCACCATCGTGCGTGATTATTTAAACGAACTATACGGAGACAGATGGATTGGACGAGGCGGACCAGTAGCGTGGCCGGCACGAAGCCCTGATATGACCCCCCTAGATTTTTTTTGTGGGGCCACATGAAACAGATTGTGTACAGTACTCCAATTAGTACAAGAGAAGAATTGTTACAAAAAGTAATGGCTGCGGCTAGTCAAATAAAAGAAAATCGTACTGTATTAAAAAAAACAGTACGCAGTGTGGCATTACGTACAACTGTATGTATGGATGAAAATGGTGGTCATTTTGAAAATTTAATAAATTAAATCATTTTTCTACGGTTTCTTTTGTTTTATTCCATAATTTTGACAATTAAATCATTATTAAATCACTTTTGAATTTTGTGCTCAGATTACCTACCTTATTTTTAGTGATTATCTTAACAACGAAAAAAGATAGAACGCATGTTATTTTAGAGAACTTATACAGTAAGCTACGTAGTTTAATAAAACATGCTAAAAAGGTTATCTCAACGTACTAGTTTTGAAGTTACAGACCAAAAATTAAAAAGAAAAGTATTTTTTTAACAAAAAAAATTATCTTATTATTTTTTTGACAAATTTCCTGCTTGATATCGTAGGTTTTTTTAATTTTTATTGCTAGTTAATCTTTCTAACTTTCAAATAAAACTACTTTGAAAAAAATACACCGTTTACTTAAAGAGAAAATAATTTAAAACCGAAGGATGGGAATTTTAACAAAAACAAAATTCAAATGCTTTTATTTTTTAAACAGTTTACATAAAAAAAA